GTTGCTGTTCTCTTCAGCAGAGGAAAGTTGTGTTGTTGAGAAGGAAACACAGTGCAGTCCCACAGGTTGCTGGTGACAGGATGCTGTCCTGTTTGCTTCAAGCAGAATTAGGTACCCTTGGCAGCTGTGTTTTGGACCAGCTGCCATAGCCAGACCCCTGAGGGAACTGGGCAGATTCTGTTGTTCAGCACTTACCTGCAGAGTGCTGGGAGCTCTGCTCTAGTGATGGCGTTCTTCTTGCCATGTCAGGAGCACTTTAATTTCTGTTTATTCTAATGTAAGAATTTGCATACATCTTTGGTTTTAGTGGTAGGTAACAAACAAGTGTTACTATTTCATAATTAAACTAACGTGTTGGTGATTAAAGCCAGTCATGCTGTGGTTGAACCAAAATCTGCACTCCTATCCAAACCACGTCTTTTTGTCAAGCCATTTTTCTTTGTAATGTAGACTTTTATTATCATTTCATTCAACCAGTTTTCAAATAATTCAAGTCATTTTCTGTCTGCATTTTTTTAAATAGCTCTTTAGAGAGAAAATATCTTTGTTTGTTTGTTTATGTAGGAGATGATGCCCTTCCAAACGGTTTAGATGTAACCTTTGAGGTAACAGAATTGAGAAGACTAACTGGAAGCTATAATACTATGGTTGGCAACAATGAAGGCAGTATGGTATGGATTATTTCAAGTAATTGTTAATCCCTTTTGATATGCCTCTTTCGTGTTTCAAACCTAGCAAGGAATTTAGTGATTAAATAGATGAGGACTTGATCCAAGCCAAATTATTTCTTGATCCAGCTTTAGTAAGGCTTTGCTAGACCTTTGTCTCTAAAGAGTCTTTGTATTAGTCAGGCTTCCATTCAGCAGAAGCCTATTTTGAGCTAGAGAAGAATGCTTTAGCTTCCAACTCAGGATGTTAATTTTTTAATTCTTAAAATGACTTAAATTATTTCTTGATAATATTTAAGACGCTTTATCTACTGGAGAGACTAGTAAGGAATTTGTCATTTATTCTCTATGAGATCTATTTGAAGTATTTTTTGTCTCAGTTGAAATGCTTTACGTTTGAACTAGAAATTTTTCTTGGTTTTCGCTATTTTAGCCCCCGTTACCAGTTATTCTGGGCTGCAAAATGCAAGGTTTTCCAGAACCCTACAAACTCTGGAAGTTGTTTCCATTTGGCTCAATTATGGATGCATCAGCTTAAAATCTTGTGTGAAAAATACTTACCAATTGACAGGAAAAATAACAGCCGTACTGTTGTTCCGTTAATGTGCTTTTAACAGAAGTGCTGGTGTAAGTAGATCGTGCTTTCAGGTGCTCATTCCTGCACCCCTTCTGCCTTCTCATGTGCACGGTGCAGCTGTGCCTGGGGCTGGTAGATAAGCCAGATCAAGGGACTCATCCTTTTCTTCTTAGGGGTATTTTTAACCTGGATAAGATACTGCATGACTCAGGTGATGGTGTTTTGCAAGTGCAGGGAGAATAGGAACTAGGTGAGTTGAGAGCTGCTTATGCAGCTCTGCTGAGAGCAATGTCCAGGGTGTCGTGGCCTGAATGAAACCGGTGGGGAATCCTACTCGTTGGTTCTAACGCCTTTGAAAACAGTCTGAAAGCTACTTTGGTTTCTTTTTTTGTACTCAGCTTCCCCTTCTATTTGATTTTAGTTTGTTACAGAGAAGTAAAATGTTTGAATGATATAAAAGCATGATCTGTATACACTGGTATTGGCAGCAGAGATTATGTTTCCTTAAGAGTCGAGTAGCTTTGACGTTTATTCTAATCCCTTAAATTCATCTGAAGCCTACAGACCTAATATTTCATACTAATAGCCCTTTCTCTTAGTTGGATAATTGCATAGTAGCCATCATCACAAAGTTCAGGTGACTCGTTTGCTTCCAGTAGCTGTTAGACAAAAGCAGTCAGGATTTGGTAGCTTTGTTACATTCTTTTAAAATAGAACCGCAACAACAGAACAGTCCTGGTAGTGTCTGTGCTTGGGGGAAACCTGCTCCATCCTTTCTGCCAAAGGGCCGAGACCCGCCGAAGGGGTACGAGGAATTTCTATCAGAACAGGCAAAAGCGTTTAACTAGTTTCTGGAGAATTGTAATGGGATGATGTACTGCCGTCAGGACTGATTGCAGAAATACTCAAAAATACAGGGGAGTGGGTCTGTACCGATAATTTCCCATTGGCTTATTGCTGTGGTTCCGATGAACCCTACCTGACAGGTAGTTTTCCTGATGATCAGCTGGAAAGTCTGCAGTTGCGGAGCAGCTCTTTATTATGCCAAAGACCTGTTCTCCTCAGCTTTGAGACTGGCCGGGAGATTTTACCTGAAATAATAGCAGCACTCATGATACAGTGAGAATGCAGATTAAGTCAGCAGCTACTGGACAGCAATAAAAATCAGATAATTAACTGTAACTTGTGCTATTGTGGTGGCCTTTGCTGCCAGTGCAAAGAGAAGTCTAACTTAAAAGAAAACACATTCAGTTGCAACTATTTTTAGTGTCTTAATTTCTCGTTCTCATGGTAGATGTGCTTGTCTTCAGCATACAATTAACATGCAAGACAGCAAACTATATGAAAAGAGTGAGGCTGGGTTTTTTTTGTTTTCTGTAGGTGCTTGGGCTCAAGTTCCCAAATCTCTTTGGACGTGCAGAAAAGGTAACCTTCCAGTTCTCCTACGGAACAAAGGAAACTTCATATGGCTTGTCATTCTTCAAACCACAGCCTGGAAACTTTGAAAGAAAGTAGGGAATGCGTTTTTGAGTATTTCTTTTTTTTTTTTTTTTAGTGAAGGACTATAAAACAATGAATAAGATATTGAGTTATGTATTAAATGTATTCCTTCCCTGAGAGTCTGTTAATAATGTAGAAGAGCTGGTTTCTGAAGTTTTTGTGATAATTTAAAACTCCACCTGTGTAAATAGTTTCATTTTCAGACTTACAAGTAATGTTGTGTTTCAGTTTTTCAGTTAACCTATATAAAGTAACTGGACAGTTCCCTTGGAGCTCTCTTCGTGAAACTGATAGAGGAATATCAACAGAATTTAATGTAAGTGTAGCACAAGCATTTGTGAAACATATGCTTGCTTCCTTTACGTTTAATTCAGGTCACAGCTGGCTGTTCTAAATACTTGGTTTGCTTTTTTAATGGTTGAAACACTTGTGCACAGGGCTAGCTTGTCATTGTTTGAAGGAGGTCAACAGTTTTAAAATAACAGAGGTAATACACCTTAGTCTTTTTGTTAAATTCAATCTTATTGTGGCCGTATAAAAATACCAATGTCGTTTTCTCCTAATTTTTAATGTTTAAAGTGTCATTTCATAGAGGCAGCTGGTTTCCTAGCTCACTGTATCAGCCCAATTCAAGATATTTTTCATTTGGGATGGATTAAGTAGTGTGCATCTGCTTGGAGAAACTCTCTTGGCTGGAGCAGAATTAGCATTACTCTGAGATGAAAAAGGGTTTCTGTCTGATCCAGGAAGTTTGGAAAGAAAAAGAGTAGATTCGTGTATAAGTAGACTTTAGAGACAAAGATTTTTCAGGGAAATGTTTATTTTAATTTTGTAGCAAAATTTTTTTCATGTCTTACTCAATTCTTTGTTTGTAGTTTCCAATCTGGAAGACCAATCACACTCTGAAGTGGGAGGGTGTGTGGAGAGAGCTTGGCTGCCTTGCTAGAACAGCATCCTTTTCTGTTCGAGAAGAAAGTGGACACTCTCTCAAATCTTCTCTATCTGTAAGGCTTTTCCCTTTTTTAAAAGGCATTATTTTGAGTCATTTAATACTTACAAATGATACCAAAGGAGCTTTTTGTCTTAGTAGGTATTGTGTTTTACTTCAGGCATGTTTTGCTGTGTTTGGGCATTCACACAGGGTCATCCAGGAGGTCCAAATAGAAACTGTGTTTTCATAGCTGACTCTTGCGCAATTTTGACTGTTGCTTAGGCTGGCTTGGTCCTTCTGCAGGGCTTCCCTCCGTGTCATCTCCTGTCTCTTTTTGCAGGATTGTCTTGTTTTGTAGAAGACAGGATCAGTAACTTCCTTTTGTAGGAGATAAACTATTTGCAGGTTGCTGTCACAAAATTGTTGATTTACACTGGGGCATTGTAGTTGCTATATTTCTGGAGTGTACCATGGACAAAAGGTGTGTGTGTATATATATATATATATATATGTATATTTGATGTGGCTTCTAAAGTCAGAACTAAGTTAGTCTGTAGGTACATTGTTCCCAAATCCATAGAGCTACAATAGCCTTAGCTGGAGCTGTCTTGCACTGTATGCACAGTTTTTGAAGGAAAATATTAGTGTCACTGTGTGCTATTCAACAGGTATGAGAACCTGAAAATAATTGTTTGATTCTTTTCAGCATGCTATGGTAATTGATTCTCGGAACTCTTCAATCTTGCCAAGAAGAGGTGCTTTGCTAAAAATTAATCAGGTAGTATTAAGTTACTTATACTATTACTGGGTTTTATCTGTAAGTGTGTTTGACTAAGTCTTAATTCATCTAATCGATGTTCATGTTAAAAACTTCTAAAGTTAGAAATTAATAGTAAATTGACTAGGAGACAGTGATGGTCAGAATGAACTTTTTATCTTTACAGTGTGCCTTTTAAAACCTTTTTTGTGGTGGCAAATTTTCATTTGTATACCATTGGTCAAACAGCACAGCCATTTTATCTCACCAGTAGCATTACATTATTTATTAGCTGAGATACATTATCCCTGACAGTATTTACGCTACACTTTACAGTAGGTATTAGTCCTTGTTTTCTGACACTGTAGTGTAAGCCTGCCAGACTGTGGTCCTGTTGCTACTTGCAAAGTTTGTAAGTCTTAGAATTAAAAATGAAAGGCTGGGTAAAAATAACTCTGAAAGGCATACACATGTATCACGTTGGCACAGAAAATGGTTTTCACTCTTGTTAGGCTCAGAGCTTGTAGAAAAGCTGGCTTTGCTGCTGTATGGGTTGATACTTCAGAAGCATTAACTTCCGCAGTGCTTTAGCAGCAGATTGCTTTGAAATGCCGTCGGAACTAGAAGTGCTACTGTTCCTGTAAGCAGCAGTGAACTGTTCTGCTTCTGAGTGAGAAAAGAGGTTATAACTCAGGGTTTAGTTAACATATCATTTGTTAGATGCTGCCTCTGACACGTGATTCAGTCACTTCACTTGTTATTTTCAGCTAGCACTGCTGTAATGCAACTGGCTGGCTGGTTCTTCAGCACTGCTTTAGTACGTATGAAATCTTCTCGGATCTAGGTAATGGCAGTAAGAGTTTTGAGTTTGGGTGCTGGATTTTCGAGCTCCATTCCATTTTGCCATCATGTACAAAACAGCTTAGAAAGCAATACCTTGGTTTAATATTTTGAGGAGAAAATTGGAGCTTGTTGTTCTCAGAAACATGTCATGCATGGTTTTTCATTGGTCCAAAATTCAGGTGTCTCTCCATACCAGTGTATCTGTATTTGTTGTACAGAAAGCACTGCTTCTGCTGATGCAGAAATGATGAACTTCTAGAGGGAAGAAACATGTAATATCCGTTACAACTTTCATAAATTTATGTCTTTGCAGGAGTTGGCTGGCTATACAGGTGGAGACGTGTGCTTTCTAAAAGAGGATTTTGAATTTCAGTTGAATAAGCAACTTATCTGGGATTCGGTAATGTTTTTAAAGATGTTTAGTAATTGATCTGAGTTAGCAAATGAGGTTATTGAATCTGTGTCTTATGATTTTTCACCGTGGATTAGAAAAAGAAGTGGAAGATGGGTGGTGTGGATATCTTGATTTGTGTTTTTTTGGAAGTGAAATGCTCTTTATTTTTAACCTGACGTTCCTGCCATGTACAGTCCCTTGAGAAGCGGGCATTTTGGAAAGAGCGACTTGTTTGACAGTTAGCCATGTGAACTGTTTTCCTTTCAGAAGTAATGTTGGGCATGTCTGTTCTTTCTTAAGAGTGATTTTTTTTTTAAACTTATTACAGCCTTTGTTCTGTCTCTTTCACCTGGTTATGAATACTCTGACTAATCTTGGTTTAGTTTTCTGTTATTTTAAATTATGAATATACGACTGCTAGTTTTGGTATCATAGCATGTAATTATTCTTCTATGTAAAGTGGTCAGGA